AAAATGGGCCGAAGGGAACCTACACCTATAGCATCTGAGGGGCCGATAAAGCTAAACAAAACTTGTAACCTGTGAAATTGTTATCTCAAATTAATAAGATGCCTCATGTTTCTTCCATGATAATCGTCACTTCCCTGAACATTGATTTCAGAGCTATTTTTCATCTACCACCGCCGTGTTAAACATTTCGCAGCAAAATTAAAAGGCTGGTGTTCCGCCACCCTATCAGATTCAAAACACAGCGATGGTGAAATATTTTATTTGTAAATGATTTTTAACTACATCTATCAGTAATTAATTGATTAACAAACAATAATATAATCTTTTAAATTATCAATTGGTCCATATTAAACAATATTTTAAAAGCTATGAAATGCGGTTGCTCCTAAAATCATATCCACCCCGCACCCACTACTACATGTTGGTATGTCGAAAATTTCGAAATAATTTTGACCCATTCTAATTCCCATAAAGGTTTATGTTCCAAGTTTAGAAAAATAGAAAATTTAGAATGTTGACCTATTGCATGATGGTCTGGCGGTCAGGATCCCCCCCCCCCCCACCTTCAAATCATTTTGGTATGCAGAAACTTTCGAAATATTTTTTACCCCGTTCAAATTCCCATAAAGATTTGTACCAAGTTTAGAAAAATGGAAAATTTAGAAGTTTGACATGTAGCATTACAGACCTACAGGCATAAAATAATGGGCGTAAAAAACCCAAAATAATGTTTAATATGGGAGTACAAAAAAACACACAACCTATATAATGAGTATTAATTTAACATAAGATAATCATTATGATTATAATAAAGAAAAATCATATGTCGATGATATTGTCCCAAGAGTAATATCAGCGAAAAACAAATATAAATTAAAACATCTTATGCGTCTGACAAAATCCTACAAACACAATAATGCACATAATAATATCGAAAAAACATTAAATATTCTGTCAGGAAAGCCTACAGTCTTTAAAGATATTATTCTAAGGTAATTATTTGAGTAATATAAGAGAATTACAGACCTAACGTCCATATAAAGTATTATGTTACCCAAAATTAAACATTCTGATCTTTGTAGGCGTTTATGACATGAGTGGTCTGTGTTGAGAGCCGGCTACCCAACCCTAACTCCCATTTAGGAAGGGGGAGGTAGGATTTTCCCAAGTGCTCTGATCAACCGGAAGTGTTTACTCACTGCTGACCTTACATTTTAATAAACATAATCATGCACATAATATAAATGAAAAATAATAACAGCAGACGTCTGTAGACGACTTCATTAGAAAAATACTAGTTTGGCAATAACAAAGCTTATTTAGATGAAAACAAAAAAAAATCATGTTGGTTTGTCGAAAGTTTCGAACAAATTGTAATTTCGAAATGGTTATTTCTAATGGCGTATTCAGTTACCAACGACAAACACAATAATACACATTATATGTGAATATTTGTTTCCAAAAAACATTAAATATTCTGCCAGAAAAGCCTACAGTCTTTAAAGATATTATTCTAAGGTAATTATTTGAGTAATATAAGTGAATTACAGAAATAAACCTTAATAAAAACCTCCCCTCGAAAACAATAAAAATATGAAAAGATAACATCTTTTAACAAAAAAATCCTGTTGCTCGGTCGAAAGTTTCGAAAGAGTTGTAATTTGACATCATGAAGCATCCATAAAGTTTTATGTCCCAAGTATAGACAATGAAAAATTTTGAATGTTGACCTAACGTCCTTATAAAGTATTATGTTACCCCATATGAAACATTTTGATCTTTGTAGGCGTTTCTGACATCAGTGGTCAGTATTGAGAATCTATCGGAAGTGTTTACTCACTGCTGACCTAACATTGTAATTAAACATAATAATGCATATAATATAAATGAAAAATAAAAACAATAGATATCTGTAGACAACTTCATTAGAAAAATACTAGTTTGGCAATAACAAAGCTTATTTAGATGAAAACAAAAAAAATCACGTATTCAGTTACCAACGACAAACACAATAATACACATTATATGTGAATATTTGTTTCCAAAAAACATTAAATATTCTGCCAGAAAAGCCTACAGTCTTTAAAGATATTATTCTAAGGTAATTATTTGAGTAATATAAGTGAATTACAGAAATAAACCTTAATAAAAACCTCCCCTCGAAAACAATAAAAATATGAAAAGATAACATCTTTTAACAAAAAAATCCTGTTGCTCGGTCGAAAGTTTCGAAAGAGTTGTAATTTGACATCATGAAGAATCCATAAAGTTTTGTACCAAGTTTAGAAAAATGGAAAATTTAGAAGTTTGACATGTAGCATTACAGACCTACAGGCATAAAATAATGGGCGTAAAAAAAAACAAAATAATGTTTAATATGGGAGTACAAAAAAACACACAACCTATATAATGAGTATTAATTTAACATAAGATAATCATTATGATTATAATAAAGAAAAATCATATGTCGGTGATATTGTCCCAAGAGTAATATCAGCGAAAAACAAATATAAATTAAAACATCTTATGCGTCTGACAAAATCCTACAAACACAATAATGCACATAATAATATCGAAAAAACATTAAATATTCTGTCAGGAAAGCCTACAGTCTTTAAAGATATTATTCTAAGGTAATTATTTGAGTAATATAAGAGAATTACAGACCTAACGTCCATATAAAGTATTATGTTACCCAAAATTAAACATTCTGATCTTTGTAGGCGTTTATGACATGAGTGGTCTGTGTTGAGAGCCGGCTACCCAACCCTAACTCCCATTTAGGAAGGGGGAGGTAGGATTTTCCCAAGTGCTCTGATCAACCGGAAGTGTTTACTCACTGCTGACCTTACATTTTAATAAACATAATCATGAACATAATATAAATGAAAAATAATAACAGCAGACGTCTGTAGACGACTTCATTAGAAAAATACTAGTTTGGCAATAACAAAGCTTATTTAGATGAAAACAAAAAAAAATCATGTTGGTTTGTCGAAAGTTTCGAACAAATTGTAATTTCGAAATGGTTATTTCTAATGGCGTATTCAGTTACCAACGACAAACACAATAATACACATTATATGTGAATATTTGTTTCCAAAAAACATTAAATATTCTGCCAGAAAAGCCTACAGTCTTTAAAGATATTATTCTAAGGTAATTATTTGAGTAATATAAGAGAATTACAGAAATAAACCTTAATAAAAACCTCCCCTCGAAAACAATAAAAATATGAAAAGATAACATCTTTTAACAAAAAAATCCTGTTGCTCGGTCGAAAGTTTCGAAAGAGTTGTAATTTGACATCATGAAGAATCCATAAAGTTTTATGTCCCAAGTATAGACAATGAAAAATTTTGAATGTTGACCTAACGTCCTTATAAAGTATTATGTTACCCCATATGAAACATTTTGATCTTTGTAGGCGTTTCGGACATCAGTGGTCAGTATTGAGAATCTATCGGAAGTGTTTACTCACTGCTGACCTTACATTGTAATTAAACATAATAATGCATATAATATAAATGAACAATAAAAACAATAGATATCTGTAGACAACTTCATTAGAAAAATACTAGTTTGGCAATAACAAAGCTTATTTAGATGAAAACAAAAAAAATCACGTTGGTTTGTCGAAAGATTCGAACAAATTGTAATTTCGAAATGGTTATTTCTAATGACGTATTCAGTTACCAACGACAAACACAATAATACACATTATATGTGAATATTTGTTTCCAAAAAACATTAAATATTCTGCCAGAAAAGCCTACAGTCTTTAAAGATATTATTCTAAGGTAATTATTTGAGTAATATAAGAGAATTACAGACCTAACGTCCATATAAAGTATTATGTTACCCAAAATTAAACATTCTGATCTTTGTAGGCGTTTATGACATGAGTGGTCTGTGTTGAGAGCCGGCTACCCAACCCTAACTCCCATTTAGGAAGGGGGAGGTAGGATTTTCCCAAGTGCTCTGATCAACCGGAAGTGTTTACTCACTGCTGACCTTACATTTTAATAAACATAATCATGCACATAATATAAATGAAAAATAATAACAGCAGACGTCTGTAGACGACTTCATTAGAAAAATACTAGTTTGGCAATAACAAAGCTTATTTAGATGAAAACAAAAAAAAATCATGTTGGTTTGTCGAAAGTTTCGAACAAATTGTAATTTCGAAATGGTTATTTCTAATGGCGTATTCAGTTACCAACGACAAACACAATAATACACATTATATGTGAATATTTGTTTCCAAAAAACATTAAATATTCTGCCAGAAAAGCCTACAGTCTTTAAAGATATTATCCTAAGGTAATTATTTGAGTAATATAAGTGAATTACAGAAATAAACCTTAATAAAAACCTCCCCTCGAAAACAATAAAAATATGAAAAGATAACATCTTTTAACAAAAAAATCCTGTTGCTCGGTCGAAAGTTTCGAAAGAGTTGTAATTTGACATCATGAAGAATCCATAAAGTTTTATGTCCCAAGTATAGACAATGAAAAATTTTGAATGTTGACCTAACGTCCTTATAAAGTATTATGTTACCCCATATGAAACATTTTGATCTTTGTAGGCGTTTCGGACATCAGTGGTCAGTATTGAGAATCTATCGGAAGTGTTTACTCACTGCTGACCTTACATTGTAATTAAACATAATAATGCATATAATATAAATGAAAAATAAAAACAATAGATATCTGTAGACGACTTCATTAGAAAAATACTAGTTTGTCAATAACAAAGCTTATTTAGATGAAAACAAAAAAAATCACGTTGGTTTGTCGAAAGTTTCGAACAAATTGTAATTTCGAAATGGTTATTTCTAATGACGTATTCAGTTACCAACGACAAACACAATAATACACATTATATGTGAATATTTGTTTCCAAAAAACATTAAATATTCTGCCAGAAAAGCCTACAGTCTTTAAAGATATTATTCTAAGGTAATTATTTGAGTAATATAAGTGAATTACAGAAATAAACCTTAATAAAAAACCTCCCCTCGAAAACAATAAAAATATGAAAAGATAACATCTTTTAACAAAAAAATCCTGTTGCTCGGTCGAAAGTTTCGAAAGAGTTGTAATTTGACATGAAGAATCCATAAAGTTTTATGTCCCAAGTATAGACAATGAAAAATTTTGAATGTTGACCTAACGTCCTTATAAAGTATTATGTTACCCCATATGAAACATTTTGATCTTTGTAGGCGTTTCGGACATCAGTGATCAGTATTGAGAATCTATCGGAAGTGTTTACTCACTGCTGACCTTACAATGTAATTAAACATAATAATGCATATAATATAAATGAAAAATAAAAACAATAGATATCTGTAGACAACTTCATTAGAAAAATACTAGTTTGGCAATAACAAGCTTATTTAGATAAATTGATGACCATTGGCGATATATAACAATAGTTAAATCCAAATTGCAAACGAACCCCATCAATATTTGAATCAAAATGTTACAGTATAAAAACATTAGCTAACAAGTCTTGGAAACACCTTTACATAGAGAAGTGATTTGATAGACTTTTAGTGAGGATATCGGTTTAAACTGCAGGACGAAACAACCCCAAATGTTATGTTCCAAAGAAACGAAGCAAACTGCCTATATCTATGTATGAAGAAACTGTACGGACAGGAGAAGGTGTTTATTTTGTGTATGTATGAAGAAACTGCCTGTCCCATCTGACCGTCGGTGTGCTTTCTCCCGATAGAGATAAACATATTTGGTGTGATCTTTGTTGATGAAGTTATGGTGTTTATTTTGTGAATGTATGAAGAAACTGTCCGTCCCATCTGACCGTCGGTATGTTTTCTCCCGATAGAGATAAACATATTTGGTGTGATCTTTGTTGATGAAGTTATGGTTTTTATTTTGTGTATATATGAAGAAACTGTCCATCCCATCTGACCGTCGGTATGTTTTCTCCCGATAGAGATAAACATATTTGTTGTGATCTTTGATGAAGTTATGACATGTTAGTCTCGGCATAACAGATGGACTCGGTCCCTCAAGTAGTTTTACACCCCAAGCCTAACTAAAAGTCAATGTTTTCAAGGGGTCCGTATTTTAAAATGTGTTTCAAACTTGTCAACATAATGTTCTTTACTGTACCTACGTGTATTAGACAGACCCATGAAAATTTAGAAAATATATATAGTACATGCAGTACATACATAAACCTGCTATTGCCAATCTAGAATTTCCCTGTTAATGTTCCATTTCCCAGTCGAGTTCCTGGAACCATAAACGGCCGCTTGACATCCATCCAAGTCACAGCTGGAAAAAAGGTAAAATGTGACAATTAAATGGTCCACATGAACAATTTCCTTTTAAAAAGGACATAGTTGAAAATCTGCCCATCTGTACAACACGATTAATATTTCAGCAAATCTGAAAAGTTTTCGAAAACTACCAACAGACATGCTGTATTGTTTTGCGACTATAGAAAATCTCATCTTGCAGCTGAAGTATGATTTGTTCACAGTAAATTCATCTAAGAACTACCATTGAATGTACCTATGGCGACCAAGTGATACGTTCAGTTGAAATGTTACAGTTCTGAAGGCGTAATTTCTATTTCCACGAATGTCTCAGTCAATATGTATAATTTGATTCAAAGACCACCATATTATGTAATTAAGCATATCGCATGGACTTTAATTTGAATTATTTATAAATAAATGCTATTAATACCTCCCCTGTCTGTGTCCTATAACCGTGGTAATCATCATCGTATTGATCATTCGGCGCCTTAACATTGTTGTGGTCCTGTAAAATATACGATTATATATTTTGTGTTTATAACATCGGGCACTATCTTGGCATGCTAATAGACACATTTCAACAGCCAAAGACAAACTTGCAGCCTAGAGGAACTAGAGAAGTTGTAATTAGCAAGTATGTATGGTTTTTAAATGTTCTAAAATAAGGATCCAATAGTGAATTATTAGACATACACAATATGTAATATATTTGAACTCTTTTAACACAATCAGCTACCCTCATTCGTGAAATTTCTAATTGTGGACATCAATTTGAAGACACCGAACATTTTTTTATTGAAATGCTCCTGATGTTCAGATGCCCGAAATAAAACAATAAATAATTTATCGACTATTCATCGAAACACTCAATATTTTTAAAACTGTCCATTCGTTTTTCGAAATCACCAGACGGTTCCAGGGACAACTATAAACACTCATCATTGTAAATATATTCTCACTATAATCATACTTGCACGTGTACATTGATTATTAATATCTAAAATGTAAATGCATGTATCTATATCTGACAGGGAGAGGGGTTTAATATAGGCTATGTCTGTTCCCCAATCCCTATTCAGATACAGATCTGAATAAAATATTGCTTATAAAAAAAAACATTTCTTTGAAATACCACTACCGTTTCGGTTCATCGTGTTACGTTATACTGTACGACATTTTAAGTTCTAAATAAAACATAATGTTTGAAATTTTATATTACCGTAATAACACTTGCGATTTTGTTTTAGAAATAGAAAATATTGATATTAATGCTTACCTCATCAATTGCATTGACTGTACAATACCTCCATGTATAATATGCTCTGCGTCCCCACGATCATGTAAGAGAGGAGGATTATTCAGTTTCACGTTCTGTACATTCTAAATTTCCAGACTGCATCCAATTACAGTATATGTACTTTAACCGGCGCCGTCACTATTTTTAAGGAAAAAAAATATATTTATGTTTAGTTGATTCTGGCTAAACCCTTTATTTGTTTTCTATCAAACTTACAATAACAATCCTGTGAAATAGAATTGTTTCAAATTAGAATCTGTTCACACAATCTGTTTACTTTTGTCTTGTCTTATATTACCAAAGAATATTAAAATCTAACTCACCTGTATCCGTAAACTCTCTAGACCCCACTATCAACAATACATCTAAGTTTATCATAGAAACACGTTATACAAGGTTATCTTTACTGGACTCATGAGAAATTTGCAATTTACGTTAACGGCATTAAAAATCTAAGATAAAGAAAATATCAGAATATATTAAATATAGCACCCCTTACATAGCACGCAAATGCAGCGAAAAACGTGCACCCCCCCCCCCCCCAAAAAAAACAACAAAAAAACCCAAAAAACAAAAATATTAGTTGCCTAAAGAAGATGTAGGATTAGTCGATGCCATATTAATATATCCCAATTTAATTACTCCCCATGTCTATAACTTTCAACCAAAAAAAACTAATAATACATCATGGAAAACATCACATGATATTTACAAACGAATCTGGTGCACAAGCCAAGCTTATACAACAACAAGCCAAAATATAAAGACAGGCCCAGTATAAGATAAATAATAACGTGTGGACCTCTATTATATCATAAACTTTTTGTCTCCTATAGCGTAATTTGAAAATAAAACCCCATGAATTAATATTAGCGTTAACTCTTTTCCTAAACTCAAATCAATATGCGTATCAATTGACAAATTCATTGGTGTTGAATGGTTATATTTACAAATGTCAGTAACATTGGACTAGACCTGTGTCATAGGTCAGAGTAGCCAGATATAGGACGGGAACTTTTTCTATGTAGTTTGACGAATATATTGTAATATGGTGAAGATCTTTTATTTAAACAAATGTTGCTTACCCACAGAACAACTACCATGAAGCCATCGTCTGTAATATGTAATAGAAATATGGATAAATGTTATTAAATAAACAGTTTAATTCTGTGTGAAAGACTCTAGCCTTGGCCTGTATAGCAATCTAAAATTTTATGACGCTATGCCAAAGAAATACAAACTTTCATTATTCATGTGATGGAGGCGAAAAATCAGAATATTCTTCACATTTTGTCACTTGATTTGCATACCTTGTGAAAGCTGGAACATCCATGTCCACCTCGTCCCAGAAATCCAAGCGGAGTTCTCCACACCCCGTTTTCGTCCCCGGGTCGGCCTCGCTCCACCATCTCCATCGAGTCTTGGATCGTACGAAAGTGCGCGGTGACTGGACGAGAGATCGGGCTCAACAATCCCCCGCCTTCCGACCGCTTCGTTGCCTTCTAGAGAGAGAACTGTGGGCTAAATGATCCCCTGCCTACCGTTCTCCACCGTCTCGCGTCTTGGATCGTACGAAAGTGTGCGGTGACTGGACGAGTGATCGGGCTCAACGATCCCCCGCCTTCCGACCGCTTCGCTGCCTGTGACTTTACATGAGCATTAACTCCTCAGCACTGTACTCAGAGGGAATCCGATGTACCACGCATTTCTCACAGCTCGTCCACATCGTCCCGGAGAGCCAAGCGGAGTTCTCCGGTTTTCGTGACCGTGATAGTCGGTAGGCAGTACACCGACCTTTTATTTCTCGACCATACCTTCTCTAATCTTAAATCTATGGGTCTCCTCCACCCATAGGCTATAAGTTTGAGAACTTCTCAAAGGAATCAGACACCTTTTATTTCTCGACCATACCTTCTCAAATCTTAAATCTATGGGTCTCCTCCATACCATAGGTTATAAGTTTGAGAACTTCTCACGCCCGTGAGAGTGTCAAAGGAACCAGACACCTTTTATTTCTCGACCATATCTTCTCAAATCTTAAATCTATGGGTCTCCTCCATACCATAGGGTATAAGTTTGAGAACTTCTCACGCCCGTGAGAGTGTCAAAGGAACCAGACACCTTTTATTTCTCGACCATACCTTCTCAAATCTTAAATCTATGGGTCTCCTCCATACCATAGGGTATAAGTTTGAGAACTTCTCACGCCCGTGAGAGTGTCAAAGGAACCAGACACCTTTTATTTCTCGACCATATCTTCTCAAATCTTAAAACTATGGGTCTCCTCCACACCATAGACTATAAGTTTGAGAACTTCTCACGCCCGTGAGAGTGTCAAAGGAACCAGACACCTTTTATTTCTCGACCATACCTTGCCTAATCTTAAATCTATGGGTCTCCTCCACAGCATAGGATTTAAGTTTGAGATCTTCCATTAACTCCTCAGCACTGCACTCAAGAGGGAATGCCAGGTACCACCCATTTCCGCGAGCTGTGACCAGGCTCCGAGGAGTTGTCGTCCGCGGGTCGGCCTCGCTCCACCGTCTCCATCAGTCTTGGATCGTACGAAAGTGCGCGGTGACTGGACGAGAGATCGGGCTCAACAATCCCCCGCCTTCCGACCGCTTCGTTGCCTTCTAGAGAGAGAACCGTGGGCTAAATGATCCCCTGCCTTCCATTCTCCACCGTCTCGAGTCTTGGATCGTACGAAAGTGCGCAGTGACTGGACGAGAGATCGGGCTCAACAATCCCCCGCCTTCCGACCGCTTCGTTGCCTTCTAGAGAGAGAACTGTGGGCTAAATGATCCCCTGCCTTCCATTCTCCACCGTCTCGAGTCTTGGATCGTACGAAAGTGCGCAGTGACTGGACGAGAGATCGGGCTCAACAATCCCCCGCCTTCCGACCGCTTCGTTGCCTTCTAGAGAGAGAACCGTGGGCTAAATGATCCCCTGCCTTCCATTCTCCACCGTCTCGAGTCTTGGATCGTACGAAAGTGCGCAGTGACTGGACGAGAGATCGGGCTCAACAATCCCCCGCCTTCCGACCGCTTCGTTGCCTTCTAGAGAGAGAACTGTGGGCTAAATGATCCCCTGCCTTCCATTCTCCACCGTCTCGAGTCTTGGATCGTACGAAAGTGCGCAGTGACTGGACGAGAGATCGGGCTCAACAATCCCCCGCCTTCCGACCGCTTCGTTGCCTTCGAGAGAGAGAGAACCGTGGCTAAACGATCCCCTACCTTCCGTTCTCCGTTTTCGTCTCCGGGTCGGCCTCGCTCCGTCTCCATCGATTCTTGGATCGTACGAAAGTGCGCAGTGACTGGACGAGAGATCGGGCTCAACAATCCCCCGCCTTCCGACCGCTTCGTTGCCTTCGAGAGAGAGAGAGAACCGTGGCTAAACGATCCCCTACCTACCGTTCTCGCTCCACCGTCTCGCGTCTTGGATCGTACGAAAGTGTGCGGTGACTGGACGAGTGATCGGGCTCAACGATCCCCCGCCTTCCGACCGCTTCGCTGCCTGTGACTTTACATGAGCATTAACTCCTCAGCACTGTACTCAGAGGGAATCCGATGTACCACGCATTTCTCACAGCTCGTCCACATCGTCCCGGAGAGCCAAGCGGAGTTCTCCGGTTTTCGTGACCGTGATAGTCGGTAGGCAGTACACCGACCTTTTATTTCTCGACCATACCTTCTCTAATCTTAAATCTATGGGTCTCCTCCACCCATAGGCTATAAGTTTGAGAACTTCTCAAAGGAACCAGACACCTTTTATTTCTCGACCATACCTTCTCAAATCTTAAATCTATGGGTCTCCTCCATACCATAGGTTATAAGTTTGAGAACTTCTCACGCCCGTGAGAGTGTCAAAGGAACCAGACACCTTTTATTTCTCGACCATATCTTCTCAAATCTTAAATCTATGGGTCTCCTCCATACCATAGGGTATAAGTTTGAGAACTTCTCACGCCCGTGAGAGTGTCAAAGGAACCAGACACCTTTTATTTCTCGACCATACCTTCTCAAATCTTAAATCTATGGGTCTCCTCCATACCATAGGGTATAAGTTTGAGAACTTCTCACGCCCGTGAGAGTGTCAAAAGGAACCAGACACCTTTTATTTCTCGACCATACCTTCTCAAATCTTAAATCTATGGGTCTCCTCCATACCATAGGGTATAAGTTTGAGAACTTCTCACGCCCGTGAGAGTGTCAAAGGAACCAGACACCTTTTATTTCTCGACCATACCTTCTCAAATCTTAAATCTATGGGTCTCCTCCATACCATAGGGTATAAGTTTGAGAACTTCACACGCCCGTGAGAGTGTCAAAGGAACCAGACTCTTTTTATTTCTCGACCATATCTTCTCAAATCTTAAAACTATGGGTCTCCTCCACACCATAGACTATAAGTTTGAGAACTTCTCACGCCCGTGAGAGTGTCAAAGGAACCAGATACCTTTTATTTCTCGACCATACCTTGCCTAATCTTAAATCTATGGGTCTCCTCCACAGCATAGTATTTAAGTTTGAGATCTTCCATTAACTCCTCAGCACTGCACTCAAGAGGGAATGCCAGGTACCACCCATTTCCGCGAGCTGTGACCAGGCTCCGAGGAGTTGTCGTCCGCGGGTCGGCCTCGCTCCACCGTCTCCATCAGTCTTGGATCGTACGAAAGTGCGCGGTGACTGGACGAGAGATCGGGCTAAACGATCCCCCGCCTTCCGACCGCTTCGTTGCCTTCGAGAGAGAGAGAGAGAGAAACGTGGGCCGAAGAAGAGAGAAGAAAGGGCATGCCACAAGAGATCCGAATGGGGGACGCAGTCTCAGGTGCCATCCTTCCCCTAGAGCAAGCGGCGCGACAATGGTGACGAGAAGGGTAACCGGGAGCTGCATGAACACACTCTCTAGCCTTCACTCAACTGCCGTGTACGCACCGAGCAAGAGGAGACCGGCCAACCTTCCACTGCGCCTCACTCGTCTCAAGAAACTTGCCCAACCAAATTCTCCGCCAAAGTTCCCTACTGCCCCGCCGAGGACCGGCTGAGCCACATCAGCTTAGCATACTATCACGATTGTTTCAAGCTTGGGCTACAATCAGGATTGTTTCATGCCTTAGGAAACTATCGCCAATTTCGCCAAGCCAGATCAGCTTAGCATACTATCTTGATTGTTTCAAGGCAAGAAAGCCTGGGAAACTATCAAGATTGTGTCAAGCCAGAACAGGTTAGGATACTATCGACCATATTTACAAAGCCAGAACTGTTGAGCTACATTCAAAATTTATAAAGCCAGAACCATTTGGCATATAATCAACCCTTTCCAAGCCAGGACAGCTTAGGATACCATCGCCCGCCATTTGTATCAACCACGTAAAGCTTGGGCTACAATCAGGATTGTTTCATGCCTTAGGAAACTATCGCCAATTTCGCCAAGCCAGATCAGCTTAGCATACTATCAGGATTGTTTCAAGGCAAGAAAGCATGGGGAAACTATCAAGATTGTGTCAAGCCAGAACAGGTTATGATACTATCGACCATATTTACCAAGGCAGAACTGTTGAGCTACATTCAACATTTATAAAGCGAGAACCATTTGGCATATAATCAACCCTTTCCAAGCCAGGACAGCTTAGGATACCATCGCCCGCCATTTGTATCAACCACGTAAAGCTTGGGCTACAATCAGGATTGTTTCATGCCTTAGGAAACTATCGCCAATTTCGCCAAGCCAGATCAGCTTAGCATACTATCAGGATTGTTTCAAGGCAAGAAAGCATGGGGAAACTATCAAGATTGTGTCAAGCCAGAACAGGTTATGATACTATCGACCATATTTACCAAGGCAGAACTGTTGAGCTACATTCAACATTTATAAAGCCAGAACCATTTGGCATATAATCAACCCTTTCCAAGCCAGGACAGCTTAGGATACCATCGCCCGCCATTTGTATCAACCACGTAAACCTTTGGCTACAATCAGGATTGTTTCATGCCTTAGGAAACTATCTCCAATTTCGCCAAGCCAGATCAGCTTAGCATACTATCAGGATTGTTTCAAGGCAAGAAAGCATGGGAAACTATCAAGATTGTGTCAAGCCAGAACAGGTTAGGATACTATCGACCATATTTACCAAGGCAGAACTGTGGAGCTACATTAAACATTTATAAATCGAGAACCATTTGGCATATAATCAACCCTTTCCAAGCCAGGACAGCTTAGGATACCATCGCCCGCCATTTGTATCAACCACGTAAAGCCTGGGCTACAATCAGGATTGTTTCATGCCTTAGGAAACTATCGCCAATTTCGCCAAGCCAGATCAGCTTAGCATACTATCAGGATTGTTTCAAGGCAAGAAAGCCTGGGAAACTATCAAGATTGTGTCAAACCAGAACAGGTTAGGATACTATCGACCATATTTACAAAGCCAGAACTGTTGAGCTACATTCAAAATTTATAAAGCCAGAACCATTTGGCATATAATCAACCCTTTCCAAGCCAGGACAGCTTAGGATACCATCGCCCGCCATTTGTATCAACCACGTAAAGCTTGGGCTACAATCAGGATTGTTTCATGCCTTAGGAAACTATCGCCAATTTCGCCAAGCCAGATCAGCTTAGCATACTATCAGGATTGTTTCAAGGCAAGAAAGCATGGGAAACTATCAAGATTGTGTCAAGCCAGAACAGTTTATGATACTATCGACCATATTTACCAAGGCAGAACTGTTGAGCTACATTCAAAATTTATAAAGCCAGAACCATTTGGCATATAATCAACCCTTTCCAAGCCAGGACAGCTTAGGATACCATCGCCCGCCATTTGTATCAACCACGTAAAGCTTGGGCTACAATCAGGATTGTTTCATGCCTTAGGAAACTATCGCCAATTTCGCCAAGCCAGATCAGCTTAGCATACTATCAGGATTGTTTCAAGGCAAGAAAGCATGGGAAACTATCAAGATTGTGTAAAGCCAGAACAGTTTATGATACTATCGACCATATTTACCAAGGCAGAACTGTTGAGCTACATTCAACATTTATAAAGCGAGAACCATTTGGCATATAATCAACCCTTTCCAATCAGTGACAGCTTAGGATACCATCGCCCGCCATTTGTATCAACCACGTAAAGCTTGGGCTACAATCAGGATTGTTTCATGCCTTAGGAAACTATCGCCAATTTCGCCAAGCCAGATCAGCTTAGCATACTATCAGGATTGTTTCAAGGCAAGAAAGCATGGGAAACTATCAAGATTGTGTCAAGCCAGAACAGGTTAGGATACTATCGACCATATTTACCAAGGCAGAACTGTTGAGCTACATTCAACATTTATAAAGCGAGAACCATTTGGCATATAATCAACCCTTTCCAAGCCAGGACAGCTTAGGATACCATCGCCCGCCATTTGTATCAACCACGTAAAGCCTGGGCTACAATCAGGATTGTTTCATGCCTTAGGAAACTATCGCCAATTTCGCCAAGCCAGATCAGCTTAGCATACTATCAGGATTGTTTCAAGCCAAGAAAGCATGGGAAACTATCAAGATTGTGTCAAGCCAGAACAGGTTATGATACTATCGACCATATTTACCAAGGCAGAACTGTTGAGCCACATTCACCATTTATAAAGCCAGAACCATTTGGGATATAATCAACCCTTTCCAAGCCAGGACAACTTAGGATACCATCGTCCGCCATTTTTATCAAGCCCGCAAGGCTTGGGCTACAATCAGTATTATTTCACGCCTTAGGAAAATATCGCCCAATTTCACCAAGCCAGATGAGCTTAGCATACTATCAGCATTGTTTAAGGCAGGAAAGCATGGGATACTATCAGGATTGTTTTAATCCAGGACTGTTTAGGATATTTTTGACCGTCTTTACCAAGCCAGAACGGATGAGCTTACATTCAACAGTTATAAAGCCAGAACAACCTTTACCAAGTCAGGATAGCCCAGGATACCATCGCCCGCCATTTTTGAATATGGAACTTCCTACTTTCTATTTGGATTAGGGTTAGGTATTTAAGATTAAAACCTATAAATTCAGGGTGAGGGGTTAAAGATTAAAACCAATGAGTCCCATTTTCACTATACAAGAAAAGGAGTCACAACATCCATACTGCCACAAACTTAATTTGTGGAAAACACTGAAATTGTTATTTACTTTCTGTGGTGCCACAACAATGAAATATTGAGACACTTAAATGGGAGTCACATCAAACATGAATGCCCAACACTCATGTTCAGATCTTTCAGGAATTAAGGGCAAGGTAAAGTTACACCATTTTGTCACAACACCTGAAAAGATGAAAAAATTATTTCAAAAACAAGAACAATGGCTCTTGGATACAAAAGTCTACAATAAAATACATTACTCACAGACCATTTTTTTTGCTACCACTCGCCCTTTAAACTCATCTTGTGATCACTGAGGTGTTAATTTATGGTGAAAATATCCAGGGGGGATCACGGTGTCTAAGTGGTTAAGACGCTGGCTCGCTAGTCTAGAGGTCGGGTGTTTGATCCCTGCATTGGCCGAGGAAGTTCATCCACATTTTCTGGCGTGGTTCCCCCTAGTCAGTGATGCACGACAAGGACAGCAGTCTAGTCGTTCGAATGGTTAAAAAAACCAAGGTCCCGTGTACACATTGGCGTGCACGTAAAAGATCCCTTGGGGGTTGAAATTCGATATAAGAGTAGACCGTAGTGCCGCTGTCCGGGCAAAATTTACCTCATAGCACACTGTATGGCATATGCCTGTCTTCATTTGTCCAGTTCGGAGCAAAACAGTAGGACGTTAAACCCCATTTCATTTTGCAAAATGTCCCACAATCGCGGTTATACAAGAATTATTTGAACTTTTTGACGTTACTTATCACACGCAACTATTGTCCCATGGTGTGTACAACAACCATCAAGACAAATGTACACATGCATGTACTCGCATGTGCTTTAGCCATTTTGGTATTTCAAGTCCTCCTTCTCCACACTCCAGTCATGCCCTGTTGACCTATCACTGGAGCATGAAAAATCGCCCGGTTGATCGAACCTCCTAACCGAATACAAATTGTGGGAGATCAATTATTTACACACCTATATATTTTTTAAAGCCCCAACCATTGCATTTTCTTTCTGATCACCCATTAAATATAATTCGTACTTTCCAAGACAGCGCAAATGACCTTCATCCTTTGCAGACTATAATTTGCTTTTATATGTGTCATATTATGTGGCATAGTGTTTGACATATATCAGTAAGAGTATGTTGCAAATATTATAATTTGCTGGTAAAGTGTAACTTATGGAATTTAAATTGTCTTTGTCGGAACTCTATTTTGTGAATATTTTGAGAGAAAGGAGAAAATTTGTAAGTTACTGTGGCCACAGATTAAAAATATTTATACTCTGTGCTGTGGCATCATGTAGGTAATCCGAGCCTTCGATAAATAAAATGAATTGAAAGTAGTCTATTTTTAGTAACCAATTTCTTTGCTCAAAATAACCAGTAGCTGCCAGGCAGGATACGCCCACATTTTGCAAGGGATGGATAGAGAACAAGCTAAAAACAAACGGGATTTTTTGTACAATCAGGGGCAATAATCCAGAAAATTATGGTCTGAAATCAAGGGCCATAATTCTGGAAGTTACAATCCGATATGCGCGGATATCGATAGAAACAGATAATTGGGTTATAAACTTACATTTCAAGTTTCAACAAAATCGGATAAAAATTGTGACCTCTTTAGGGTCCACAACCTTGAAATACCATATTTTTGCGCTATTTCACGAACTTCGAACTCCGCCATTCTTAGGGTGTAACGGTGATATATGAAAACTTTTTTTAAAATCAGATAAAATTATGCACCCTAGGGTCCAGAAGCTAAAAACGTGATTTTTCGTACAGAGGCCATAATTCATTAAGTTTCGATCCGATACATGCCAATATCGAAAGCAGTCGAGATCTTTTGGTGATAAACCTATATTTCAAGTTTCGTCAAAATCGGATAAGAATTGTGACCTGTAGAGTGTCCACAAACAAATGGTGGACGGACGGATGTCCAGACGGACAGGGGCGACAACAATATATGTCCACATGAAAATGTGGGCGTATAAAAATACAGTTTTTGCCAAAATGAGACTTAAACTTCCGGTGATACTACAGGCAAAATAATGTGAAAAATGACGCATGCAAACTTGCCTATTTATCGTCAACTGCGCAAGGAACCGGGATCTTTGGGTTATAAACTTACATTTCAAGTTTCAACAAAATCGGATAAAAATTCTGATCTCTATAGGGTCTACAAGCTAAAAACGCGATTTTACGTAAAATCAGGGGCCATAATTCATGAATTTACGGTCCGATATGCGTGATTATCAAAAGGAACCGAGATCTTTGGGTTATAAACTTACATTTCAAGTTTCAACAAAATTGGATAAAAATTGTGACCTCCAAAGTGTCCACAACCTTGATATATCATATTTTTAGGCTATTTGAGTACGAGGGGCTGCCATTTTGTTGGTCAGTTTTGGTACGATTTTTACGAAATTGGAACTCAACTATACTGAGGTTGTAATGGTGGTGATATATTCAAAGGTTTCGTTTTAAATCGGATAAAAATTATGACTGCTATCACTGAGAACTACTAAGTGGTCAATCTGTGCACAGCCCTTATAGAAAATTATGTCTTGGGCGTTATCTCTACGTCTATCGAAAGAAAATTAATTTTCCGACTATTACTCGGCATTACCGCGTTAAAACTGTAAATAAGGTGTGTTAATTAACGAGGGTGAAAAACTGTCTGAGAGGTGAGTTAATTAACGATAGGGGTGAAAAACTGTGCGACGGCGCGTTTTCAGTAGAGGTGTGTTAATTAACCGACCGGTAAAAAATGAATGTCAATGTTGTGTATTGTTTAATTGGCGAGTATAATCAAGGACCAACAGGCTTTATCTGACACGTACGTGTTAAATCAAAATTTGGGAAGTAAAACTGTTTTACCGTGCGATTTATCATTCGACCGTGTGTTTTACGTAGGTCTTTGTATAATTAAAGACAGGTCTTTAGATAGGCGTGTGTGCTCGCTATGAACTACGTTGAACCCTTTTGTATTGCATACTATAAGTTTCATTTAATGAAATAAAAATATGGGCCTTAATCTATCGTATACGGAAAGGCGAATATTATGTTGTCATTTATCAATACCGACCAGTCAGAGCCCAATTTGAATATCCACGGGAATATAGAGAGTAAATTCAGCAAAAACAACCGAACTATATTTCTGCTTTATTATTAAAAGACGCGCACTCACCGTTTGAAATATATTAAATTTATAAAAACGTGCCACGATGCGTAGATTGAGCATCTTACCTTCAATAGCAATATCCATAAAACAGAAATCTCCATATTGATAAATAATACGGCACAACAAACCGAACAGTGGTAATTTCCACACAAATGATATATTTAAACTAAAATTACTTTAGCTTTTCACGTTTCATTACACTATTTGCATATTGTCCGACAGTTTTGGCCCAATTTTCATGGAATTCGAACTCAACAAACATCACCGTGAAAAGGTGATATATTCAAACGTTTTTTTAAATCAGGTAAGAATTGTGACCTCTAGAGGGTCCGCAAGCTAAAAACACGATTTTTCATACAATCAGGGGCCATAATTCAGGAAGTTACGATTCAATATGCCCAAATATCGAAAGGGTTATAAACATGCATTTCAAGTTTCATCAAAATCATATCAAAATTGTGACCTCTAGATAGTCCACAACTTCGATATAACAGATGTTTACACTAATTGTGTACGAGGGGCGGCCATTTTCTCCAGCAGTTTTGGTCAGATTTTCATGAAATTCGAACTCATCTAATTTTACGGAGTAACGGTGATAAATCTGAACGTTTTTTTTTAAATCAGATAAAAATTATGACCTCTATAGGGTCCACAAGCTAAATACGAAATTTTTCGTACAATCACGGGCCATAATTCAGGAAGTTACGTTCAGGTATATGCAATTACCGAATGGAACCAAATCATTGGATAAAAATTGTGACCTCTATAGGGTCCACAAGCCAAAAACGCGATTTTTCGAAGAATCAGGGGCCATAATCCATATCGCAAGGAACGGAGATCTTAGTGAGATAAACCTATATTTCAAGTTTCGTTGAAATCGGATAGAAATTGTGAACTGTAGAGTGTCTACAAACAATTGTGGACGTCCGGACGGACAGGGCTAGACAATATACAATCACATGAAAATGTGGGCGTATAAAAACTTAGGACGTCACTATAACAAAAAATCTAGGTCAAATTTCTACTGCAACAGTCGATTGCGAATAGTGAATGCTTTTCAAAAATATCAAACTATTGACCTTCGGATAAAAATTGTAGGACGAGTAGGATTTTGAAGATTGACTTACATTTTCAAAATAGTGTCACTTTCGGTGAATTTTAACATGATGAGATTTCTCTAAAAAGTTGAAAGACGACTCGTACTAACAAATATTTTTAAATAAGGCAACATTAAAGATACATTATGGGAGATTAGATAAAGAGCTGGAAGTTCTCAATATAATAGTTAACCATTTTTCAAGAGATGGATAGAGAACAAACTAAACAAAAAGCGATTTTTCGTAACATCAAGGGCCATAATTCAAGAAGGTACGATCAGATATGTGCGAATATCGACAGGAACCAAGATCGTTGGGTTATAAACATGCATTTCAAGTTTCATTAAAATCCGATCAAAATTGTGACCTCCAAAGGGTTCACAACCTTGATATACCAGATGTTTACACTATTTGCGTCGAGGGGTAGGCCATTTTGTCTGGCAGTTTTCGTCCGATTTTCAGGAAATTCAAACTCGCCTAACATTACTGTGTAACGGTGATATATTTGATTGTTTTTGTATATCAGATAATAATTGTGACCCCTCGAGGGACCACAAGCTAAAAACAGGATTTTTCATACAATCAGGTGACATAATCCAGGAAGTTACGATCTGATATGCACAAATATTGACAGTAACCAAGATCTTTGGGTTATAAACATGTATTTCAAGTTTCATCAAAATCGGATCACAATTGTGACTAATTTTTAAATTAAGGGACCACAAGCTAAAAACGTTATTTTTCTTACGATCAAGGACCATAATTCAAGAAAGTACAATCAGATATGTGCGAATATCGAAAAGAACCAAGATCTTTGTGTTATAAACATGCATTTCAAGTTTCATCAAAATTGGATCAAAATTGTGACATTCACATGTGGTTTTTTTAAATTGGATAC